CCTCGGATTTTTCAAGTCATACTTACACGATAGATTTTCAGTAAAGTGATAGTATGGAACTTTTTGTGGGTGGAAAATCACCTACACGATTCCATGGATATAGAAAATTAAAATCAGACTTGGGAACATTCTTCATGGAGATATAGTGTACATTTTATGTCACACTCTGAAAGATTGCAGCCAAATGAATAACATTTCAATGGAGAGTCACGTTTGTGGAGATGCGAGCCCGCTCACAGTAAGGACACATGTTTTTCAGTGCTATAAAAACAATCTATACTGAAAAAAACTTTTATTTTAGTTGTTATTTTGGCTTGTTTATATACTGGGGCATTAGTACTTACTTTAAAAACGTAGTAATAGTATTAGTATAAATCAGTATTAGTAATTTTATCTTGAGTTTGTTGTAGTCCCAAGTGGCAAAGGAATAACATGTCAGTGGAGAATCAGGTTTGTGGAGATGCAAGCCCCCTCACAGTAAGGACATGTTTTTCAGTGCTATGAAAAAAAAAACATCCATACTGATTTTTTTTTTTAGTTGCTATTTTGGCTTGTTTATATAATGGGCTACTTAATGTAGTAATAGTATTAGACAGAGGTGGGACCAAGTCTTTGTTTAGCAAGTCTCAAATAAGTCTCAAGTCTTTGACCGCAAGTCCGAATCAATTCCCAAGTCAAATACAGGAAAGTCCGAGTCGAGTCTTGAGTCACAGGCCCATAAGTCCAAGTCAAGTCCAAGTCGTCTGCTTTGAGCTTCAAGTCATTTCAAGTCTTTAAACCAAAGCACCAAATATAGCTTAGATTTTTTAAATTTATATGAATTTCAAACTAAACTGTAGTTAAAAAGTCATGATATATTTATATATGAGTATTTATAGTTTATATAAGAGTTGTAGAAATTAATTTTGTAATTTTTTTCTTTGTAAATTTAAATTTAAAAGATCTTTGTGTGAATCATTACAGTCAGAATGGAAAGAATTCAGATTCAAAAGTGCTTCTCAAGTCTTCTCAAGTCCCAAGTCAGTGACCTTCAAGTCCAAATCGAGTCCCAAGTCTTAGTCCATTTTAGCAAGTCAAGTCTCAAGTCCTGAAAATAGTGACTCAAGTCTGACTTGAGTCTAAGTCACAACTTGCAAGTCCCCAACTCTGGTATTAGTATAAATCAGTATTAGTAATTTTCATCTTGAGTTTTTTTGTCGTATCATCCATAATCTGTGTGAAAAGTTTTTATGACAAGTGATTTTCTCCACTCTAAGATAATATAGTTTCTTCTTCGTGAATGTTATTTTTATATTACCAATCTAAAATCAAATTGGTTTCACTAAATGAACCTTCAGACTTGTCCGCTATTGAAGATTCACTGAACAGCACATGTTTCCTTCCCTCTTTGAACTTTTAAAACTCTCCAAACTTCAGACTCTCCAAACTCATCTTCTGTCTACAGGCCTTTTGCAGCACAATGTGGTCACTGACGCCATCTAGAGGCCGCAGTTAAAAGCGCAGACATATGGTGGGACTTGATGCCAGTAACCTAATTCCCCGTGAATACCGGGCTGAGGACATGTAGTCACACTCAAATAATTAACATACATTTAAATGAATTGTCCAAATCCTAATCCTTTGTTTAGGCCTTATTTCATAAACAATCCTGAGAACTGCAATTTCACTGTAATCCTAATCAGATTGAACACAGTTGTCATATTCCCAGGCGCTAGTTCTCACACTTTAGAAAAACACAGTGATGCAGATTAACAGAACAGGGATAAACTAAGGAAAAGGCTAAGTTACATGTCAGATCTGTGGAGAGGCAACCCCGCTCACAGTAAATACGCATGTTATTCAAGGTATTTTGTTGCAATACATGATCTTTAATTAAATAAATGCAATATGGACAAGATCAGTGTTACAATTTGCGATGAATAAATGATGTTTATTGCCGTGTGTAATCTCAAAACTGTCCTTTTCGCTCGGTATAGTTACTTTGAAATGTTTATGATAGAAAAATGAGCAACAAATAATTATTTTGTGATGCCAGTGTATTGACAAGGATGTTTTAGACAACAGGCAAGGTACTAGAGTTGGGAACTTCAAGGTTAATTCTGTACTATGGAGCATTCAAGTAAAGCAATAACATTTCTGTGGCAGTGAAGTGACCGTCTACAAGAAAAGTTACATTGTGCATCTTTGAGACTAACAGCTACTGACAAGTGGACAAATGTGCAGGAAAATGTGTTTGATTAATGTTTTGGTTTAGAGTTGCATTCAGGCCTCACATTACGACGCTCCAAGTCCAAATTAGTGTTGATTTTGATACCAAGGAATAGAGTCTATGCTCAATATCGATTCCAATACCACGATGATAATAAAACACTATTTAGACATTAGTACTTTCTTCCATAGTGGTCCATGGGCGTATACTAGTCCATGTGTTGTTATACTTCAAGATCATTCTAAATCTATTCAGAAAAGGTTCATTTCTGTCCTGTAAAAGTGATTTTTTTTTTGTATCGGTACTTGCACATAAGAGTGTCTAGTTTTGATCCTGGTTTTAGTATTTATCTGATTTACAATACTTTTGATAAGCCTGGTTCAAATCCCAGAGAGAATAGGACTTCTTTGTCATATTTGCATGTTTTCTGAATGAAACTGCATCCACTTTTTCAACACCAACTTCACCTCTTCTTTCACCACATCATTCATACACGTCCCCGGATTTTCCTCAAGGCCTCCAACATCTTAGCCTCTGCATTACTCACTAGCACTAACTAGGGTTGCCAAAAGTATTGAAAATCAGATACTAAATCAATACTAAAACTAGTGTTGAATCTAGAAAGTCATTTGAGTAAGTATTGATACAAAAAAGCCACATTCACAGGACAGAAATATTTCCTGAATAGCTTTAGAATGATCTTGAGCTTTATCTGAAGTATGAAACCACAAAAACTAGCAGTGTTGGGAAGGTTACTTTTTAAAATGTATTCCCCTACAGATTACAGATTACATGCCACAAAATGTAGTTTGTAATGGAATCCATTAAATTACTTAAAATGAGTAATGTAATCTGAATACTTTGGATTACTTGGTTTGCTGTAGAGCAGCAAAGACGAGGATATCTTCACATAAGATGGTTTGTCTGCTAAAAGAAAATAAAAAGCCCAGACTTTACCCAACCAAATTAAAAATATTATTGATAGAAGAGGAGGAGGAGACACGTCCGCACAGCATGGTTTAGTCCTGTTAAATCCTGTTAAATCCTGTTTTAGTCCTAGTTTAGTCCTGTTTTAGTCCTACTTTAGTCCTGGTTTAGTCCTAGTTTAGTCCTGGTTTAGTCCTGTTTTAGTCCTGGTTTAGTACTGATTTAGTCCTGGTTTAGTCCTGTTTTAGTCCTACTTTAGTCCTGGTTTAGTCCTGGTTTAGTCCTGGTTTAGTCCTGTTTTAGTCCTACTTTAGTCCTGGTTTAGTCCTGGTTTAGTCCTGTTAAATCCTGTTTTAGTCCTATTTTAGTCCTGTTTTAGTCCTACTTTAGTCCTGGTTTAGTCCTAGTTTAGTCCTGGTTTAGTCCTGTTTTAGTCCTGGTTTAGTTCTGATTTAATCCTGGTTTAGTCCTGGTTTAGTCCTGTTTTAGTCCTACTTTAGTCCTGGTTTAGTCCTATTTTAGTCCTATTTTAGTCCTGTTTTAGTCCTGTTTTAGTCCTGGTTTAGTCCTGGTTTAGTCCTATTTTAGTCCTGGTTTAATCCTGGTTTAGTCCTCTTTTAGTCTTGGTTTTAGCCCTGGTTTTAGCCCTGGTTTTAGACCTGGTTTTAGACCTAGTTTAGTGTCCGGCAATAAATGGAATTACCTAAGGGGAAAAAAAAAAAAAAAAAAAAAAGGGATATATCCCAAAATGTGAAAACAGGAAAATACCGCTGTGTAATCCATTTATTTCAACAATTACCACTCATTCAAACAGTAACTGTAACCGAATACAGTTACTCATAATCAGTATTCTGATTACATAACTCTGGTACAGACTACTGTGCAGACTATGGACATGGACATGGACCATACCTGGACAACTGAGGAATTTTACAGATATAAGGTCACATGGTAATATAAAAGAAAGTTCTATGACATCTATTGTCTAAAAAGAGTTTTATTATCATTGGGGAATAATTATTGAGTATTGAGTCTATTCCTTAATGTCAAACTGAATTAGAATGTTTTGTATCATGGCAAAACTAGTATTAACTTCTATTTTTTAAGGCTGTCCTCATATCCAACATTGTGCTGCACGTGCTTGCTCTTTCTCTTGGCCCACGGAATGCCAAAACATGCTATAACATGTACTAATACAAGAATGGTCACTAAGTTCTTAAATCAGGTGTACATTGTCTCCCCCAAGTGGTTGAACAATTAAGTGCCAAAAATGAGAATAGTCGAATTTATCTGACCAAAGGCGTTATAGACAAACCTGAAATAAGAACCACAAAATCCAACGTTCTTCAGTAGTTTTCCATGGAAAATTTGGAGTCATGGGCAGCGGTCTTCTCACAGGGATAAGACAATACACAAGTCCTTTTTTCAGACACAACACCAAGTTTATATACATCTCTTAGATATTGTTGTGATGTTGCAAAGCCATGACATCTCCTGTTCTGTTCACCCTGACTTACAGTTAAAGTTTTAACCGTCTTTTGGGTCCTTAAATAACTATCCAACCTGTTCTCACAGACATGCTCATATTTTGGCATCAAGTTCATACTCTTATATTAGGAAAAAGTCAAGAAAACAGATTAAATAGGAAGATTTCTTTATAATCGTAAGAAGAAAACTGCAAATGTAAAATGGTCAATGATCTGAAAGTCTCTAAAGTAAATAGTTTAAATTACAGCATGTCTCAAAAAAATAATACCAGAAACCCACAAAAGTGAGTTTCCATCTGATTGTTGGTCGTTACAATCAAACCTCTCCACCTCCAACACCACTGCATTATGTTTTGTCTTCTTAGTTTCTGACAAGTTTAGAGAAGATTCTTAAGAATGACTTCAGCAGCATCTATAGTGCTGTCTTTCTGCAATTACAAAAAATAAAATAAAAATACAAGTTTTAAAGTGAAGGCAAAAAATTACATTGTAAAGACACAAAATATAAAAGTTGTACCTTAATAAAGCAAAAACGAATGTATTTCTCAAAATCTTTTTTCAATTCATTCCCCACAAATGTTGTTGCCGGCATTGGTGCCAATTTCTAAAAAAGGAAAAATGTTCCAAACTGAAACTGCACAGAACAAACTGTTTATAACTAAAAGAGTGGATAAACTGGCATCTAAATCTTATCACTTTTTTAGCATTAACTATACAGAAGTTTTAATGAATCACCATAAATACATTAGCGTTGTCACAGTACGAGATTTTCAAATTTGATTACAATATTAAAGAAAAGGCCACAGTCCCCCGATCTAAAACATACCTTTTCTTTGATCATCCATTTCACAAATTTGATGTCATAAAATTCATCCTCCATATGAGATAGGTCCACGTCTGCATTTAACAAGTACACAAAGTCAGCCCTGAGCATGTGATTAATATTGCCTCACAATGCATTTTTTATTATAAGGAGAACACCTTAAAAATCATAATAACAGAGAAAAATGGCATGTAAGCTCCATCTTCAGGGAATGCCAGGTTCATTTTCCAATCCCTTATTTTGTGCATGACTTTTATTTTATAATATTTCAGTTTTACTATTATTACTTTGTTATGTCGCGCCAGTATCACCAAAACAAATCTTTAGTTTGTGAATTTTGTTCACTGACAATGGTTATAAAGTATTGTGCTAAACTCACTGAGAGGAGAGACATCCACGAGCATGAAGTACCCCCCCTCTGGCAGGACGGGTGTCATCCCCGCAGCCTGCACGATGGAGGCCATGCGGTCCCTCTTGTCCTGGAGCTCCTCTGCCAGAGAGCTGAAGTAACAGTCAGGCTGCCCCATCAGAGCACAGTCGCGCAGCAGACCCTGGGCTACAGCCTCCTGAACACAACAGGTCAATACAGAGTGGATCAGAGACACTCCAGATGTATGACTAAACCCGGACATACACTGTGTGATATTTTCAATCGCCCCAGCTCAAACTGTACAACCTAATCGCAGGATTTAAAAGTTAACAGCTCGTGGAACTACTTCAACAGTGCAAAACCCTCACGAGAGAACTGGATTTTGTGACCTAAGATTGCCGATCGGGAGCTGGTCGTGAGGTATTAATCGGTTCTCGGTACCCCTGTATACTACACGAAGCCACGCGATTGAGCCAAAACTCGGCCTGATCCTAAAAATGGTCACACAAATGAAAAATCAGCTAAAAATCACACAGTGTACACCTGGCTTAAGCGCAATAAGAAACTGATGGTACACTTTACACTCATGTTGGGTTGTTGTAGGTTATTTAAAGCTTTGAATGAGTTCAGTTCAGTTATTTTATTTGAGCAAAATTAAATACTATGATATCAACATGAGATAACACATTGTGCTACATTACAATTATGTGTAAAAAGGAGAAGGAAGAAGTGTAAATTTATAAACTCCTACCCCTCTCACACTGTAAATATTGACAGCTGTGACTAACTAAGTGCTATTAGTAAATTAGGTTGGCGGTTTGTTCCCAGCTCCCTTAGATAAATACTGTCATTGTGTTCTTAGGCAAGACGGTTAACCAACCTCGCTTCAGTGTTTATCTTCACTGGTGTAAGAGGAGGAAAAGTACTATACACTACACATGCATAAACTACAACATTGTGTAACACTGTTTAAATCTTGAATCTAAGCAAGTCATTGTTAATCATGAATCTGAAACTTAACAACTGCATAAAGAAAATGAATGTGAAAATGAAAATGAATATACTTAGTAGATCATGACAACGCTCTGAGAAACAGCTCCAAGCTTTATTTCATGTCCCTGGAGATGGAGAGATGTCGACATAATGGATCAAATGTTAGACAGAAGCTGTGTTACCTGTAGAGGAGTAGGACAGGAGTATGCAGTGTGCTCCATCACAGTCTGCAGGTGCTTGACCAGGTGCTCCGGCCCGATGGACCAGCCAAGCTATAAGTACAAACACAAAACAACATGATAAAATAACATGTAAACAACAAGCAAGATGTATTTAGAGTCGATTAGGTTTCTTCACCCTCCATCCTGTGATGCCAAACGTTTTCCCAGCACTGCCAATTGTAATAGTTCTTTCCCACATCCCTGGTAAGGTGGCTGTAAAAATACAATTTAATTGAGAAACAATCTTTCTGGAAACTAAATTCACATTGGATTACCGATCTTGATGTGCTGGTGTCCTTTGTAGATGAGCCATTCATAAACCTCATCACTGAAGCACAGAGTGTCATGTTTGATACAGAGGTCTGCGATCATCTGCAGCTCCTCTCTGGTGAACACCTGCAGGAGTGCACATACACACTTGAGGACATGTACTGCTTAAAGTGCATATATATATATATAGTACACATTTCACTAAAAGGTAAATAACATCATTGAGTGACTGTGAGATGACATCACTATCACATTTTGATAAAAATTATGATACCGCTTCACGATTACAATATTGTAATATTTCAATTTTCCATTGAATTCGACTGTAAATGACTCCCCTAGCTGAATACTTTACTTATCACTTCTGCAGTATGTACAATTAACCACAAAATGCCAAAGCGTCTCTTAGTAACACTTCTACATGAAGTTATTTTTAACCCAAAAACTTAAATCTTTCACTATAACCTACTGTACATACTATAATCTATGTACCAACATTTCACTTTAACTCCATGAATCTTTCCCTTTAAGACAGATTTTCACAGCTGACACTGGTTTAACTGACCGTATGAGCGGAGACCACCAAACTCCATGTCCTTGGGTAATCTGCTGCTTCATTTCTATGTCAAAAATGCTCTACCTGAGCGCAGGTGATAAGGCACTGGACTTGAGCTCTCACGAAGAGATTGAATCCCACTCAGCACCTACATTTGAACCTCTTTATTACCCAGCATGCCATGTTCTACACAGCTGGCACCAGTTCAACGTGACTGTGTGAGCAGAGAAACCTACTTCAAACAAAACGCTTTGAGAGTTTTGTGCGATTTGTAAGCTGTAAGATGGTGGTGACATGTCTGGGACACCTAAGGTCACTGGTTCAAGACCCAACTCTGCCATTTTCACATCATCACACTACAGTCTACAATATAACTGGACTCATTCTGTCCAGAGTAGATAGATTTAAGAATTTTCCTTGTTACTTCAACATATTCCACTTTTTTATCTATTTGTAAATATTACAAATTCAAATAAATGAACATAAAAATTCAGCTTGTTTTGAGAATATTGAAGTAAACAACAACACAGTGGTTGGCTGCTTTTGTGGCTAGTCTTCATGTGAAACTGCACTTTGAGACCTTAAAGTCTCTCTCACTCTTTCTCTAAAAATAAAATTATTTATTATTCTGACAATGATTTGCACTGTACCTTCCCAATAGGATTGTTGGGTGTGTTTATTATAATGGCCTTTGTCTTTGAGGTAAATTTACTAGAAAGCTCCTCTGGGTCAAGATACCAGTCAGCACTAGTGATGCTCTTCTTTCCGGGTTTCTAGAAGGAAAATAAATAAATAATAAATAAATTGAACAGTTTATTATCATTATCAACATCAATTCAAATTACAGCTAAAATCCTGGGAAAACAGTGGATAACTCACAAGACGTAGTGGTATCATGACAGGTTTCGCACCTGCCATCTGGACCATAGGCTCGTAGCAGATAAAGAAAGGTTCTATTATAATTACCTGATCAGACAATAAAAATTATAAATCAATGAAATTAAGATGTTTCATTAACTGAATTCATGTTTTACCTCATCTCCCTCCTCTACCAGGCCCAGTATCGTACAGAACAAGGAGCCATAGCCCCCCACAGTCACCAGGACGTCTTTGAAAGGGTCTATAGCTCTCCCATAGACTTTCCCGTACACCTGAGACAAAGCCTTCACCAGAGCGGGATGGCCCTACACCAACAGGAACAAGGGTGGTTAGAGGTGCAAAAAACAATTTAGATAAGTCTGAATTACTATGGAGCATTCAAGACAAAGCAATCTTCATGGAGACAAGCTAGAGACAGGCCCTCCATCAGAAAACACATACATAGTTACATAGTGCAACTTTTTTTCACAAAGCTAAAAAAAAGTTGTTCGCTGCTAAAACTCGAGTCTAAATGAAGTAAATGAGCTGTTATGATGCGCACATGTCCATGACACCGCGACACCGACACCCATACGTAAATTTCCCATTCATTTTTCCCATAGACTTTCCGGGAAAAAACATAAAATAAATAAAAAGTGAAGCCAGAGTGGACTCTAAAGTGGGTGCAACTGTTCCACTTCATTAGAGTTGCTATGTTTTTAAATATATATAATAATACGGTATCGTCACAGTATAAACCTCGATATTTATTGCGATATCATGGGAAAGCTCATGATATGGTTGGGAGGCTCACGATTAGGAATGTAACAATATCCAAATCTCTCAGTACAATATTTTCACAATATATATCTCACTACTTATTCCTCTTAAAATGCCTTGACAAGACTTAATCCAAAGAACAAAAACTTTAAAGTGCTTAGAACTATTATTTCTTCATGTAGTCTGCATTGAAATGGAGCAAAGGATCATGACCCTCTGTCGTTTTTGCTGCACCATAACTCTTAAGCAAATGGATATACTGTGATGGCCCACGATATTATTGTGAAAACTTTGATAATAATAAAATAATAATAATATGAGATCATGAGGTTTCTTACAGACACTCTGGTGTACTGGTGGATGTGATCTACAGCTGATGCTTTGGCCAGAGCCTCTTTGACATACGGAGGAGGGGGCAGGTCTGGAAATCCCTCTCCCAGGTTCACTACGGAAGGATCTGCTGCCATTGAAGAAAAGACCACCCTGAAACAATCCACAGTGGATCAGACAGGAGCCAAGTTTGTGAATCTATTCAACATATATACAATGGGGAAAACTACTTACCACATATTTTTGTCCAGTCCCTCAATTCTTTTAGTGTTTGAGTGTTTTGTTGCCATTTTGTTCTGCAAAATATAATCATATTAAATTGCTATAACAGTAGGTACCGTATTTTTTCGAACTATAAGTCGCACTTTTTTTCATGGTTTGGGTGGTCCTGCGACTTATATATTAAAATTTTCAGACTTAAGAGGGCGCTCTAAGCTCGTGTGTCAGTATCAAGTACTACTTTTACTCCTGTACTACTGTCACTTCACACTCTACTGCGCATGCCTCCTGTACAAAGAGCCGCTGTCTTACTGCAAATAGTGAAATATTCTGCTGAAAATGGTAATCCAGCAGCAGAAAAATGTATGGAGTGAGTGAGAAACTTGTGAGGGACTGGCAGAAAGCCGGGATGGAGAACACAGCTTTACGGCAACCTGGAGGATGCACCATGCAACTTTCCTGGAAGTCACTGGATGGATCGACAAAGCCTGAACTTCAATGACAACTGAAGCCATCCTGTCGGGATTCAGAAAGGCTGGAATAATTCTAACTGAAACTGATGCTGAGTCTGACGACAGCTACACAGAAGAGGAAGTGGCACTCCGTTTATGTCATGGATCTACGACTCATCTCCGGAGGTCGCACAGAAGTGACACCGAGGAAGAAGTGGCTTTAGTGATTTGGAGTGAGATCATGAGTTTGGTAAACTTATGTTCTGTTGTTTATGCTATAATTATCTGAATAACTGTTCATATGTTACGTTAACATACTAATGCCTATTCAGCCTGTAATAGGCAAGCCTATAACTTGCCTTTCAAGATGAAATGTTGGTTCCTGGTCTCTGATTTTACAAAATACATTTCCCCAAAAAGTGCGACTTATAGTCCGGTGCCACTTATATATGTTTTTTTCTTCTTCTTTGCACATTTTTTGGCTGATGCGACATACTCCAGAGCGACTTATAGTCTGGAAAATACAGTAGATATGGAGGGCAGAGGCTCTATAGGAGATTCACAGTTTTAAAAGATATATGATATATAACAGAAAACACAGAAATGTTTTAACTTTTCCATAAATGGTTAGGGATTGGATACACATAACCATATTAATCTTATGGTTTGAAGTGCTTTCAACTGGCAACACTCACATCTTTGGAGCGGAATGGCGGCAACGCTTTCTGAAGTCATTGAGAAAACACTTTCATTTTGTTTATTTGTTCTTACAGAGAACATTTTGTGCCAGTTTACTTTAACCATAAACTGGCTCAACAAATTTCAAAGCAAAATCCACCACATAATTCAGACTTGTACTTCACCTCAATTTCCAAGCATAGAGTACAGACTTCTATAGAATATTGTGATCATGTCAGTATAGAGGTTTGGGCATTGAAAATGAAGGTTAACCGAAGTAATTGCATGTTGAATGTCGGCCTGTGTGCGTGCTCCTCATGTGTGTCAGTGTGTGACCCTGTGCTGCTTGGTCAGATCAGAACCTTCAAACATCTGCAACGCTACGGTAACAGCCAATATAACAACATTAATCCAGTTTGAATCGAGAGAGCGAGAGTTATCCTCACATGTGTCTGTTTACATCCACATTGGGGTGAATTTTATTTATTATTAGTAGAAGTAGTATTTTTAATAGATCTATGGTGAAGCTGCAGATTAGTGATAGTGACTGTACTTCCTGTGTACATTATCTCCAACCTTCTGTGTATTAAAATCATGTATCTGAAGTACTGCACCACATTTCACAAATAATAGTAACACAGTTTTGGCAACATCTAATCTAGAAGAGCAGTATTCTGAGCTCTGCAGACATAATCCTGCAGCAGTCTTTGCGATCGGAGATTTAAAATCACATAAGATTCCCCCTGCGTCTGGAGTGCGCTTTTTGTCAGAATAATCCTGGAGTGTGTAGCGGTCTTAAGTCTATATAGTAATTATCGCGACAGGCATACTTGTGTAACAGGGTGGTTAGCAGGGACTATTTTTTTTCGTCCTACTGTAAGGCGTCCGTGAATTCGTCCGCCTGTGCGTCGCTCTGCGTGGCTCTGCGTCGCTCTGCGTGGCTCCTGGCGTCACTGATTAGAAAAGGTGCGCACGCCGTGGGGGGGCAGTCGGGGCTCGTGGCTCGTGAAGGCGGCGAGTGAGTTGTCTGGAGCAGGCGGTGGTCACGGCAGCCGCTCCTAACGCCCACCCTTCCTCTTCTAAAACTTTCGATTGCCACTGTTGCTTGATTCTTGCTCTTTATTCTTCATTCTTATTCTTAGTGTTGATTTTTTGTTGATGAAAGTTGTGGGACAGTAGCTGAGGTCTTGGAGGGAAGTGCAATGCAAGGTTAGGTCTTACGGTTAGCGCAAGTCACTGTAGCCCAGCTAGACCCCGTACACAAGCATTTTTAATATCTCGAACTCTATGCACTTTAATGTAACAAAGCCTATCTCAGCATTCATGCACAGCATTCATGCACAGCATTCATGTTTACGCAGCTCTGATACTTTATCTTATTGTAAATGCAGGTTTTAACTAGTGGTTTGTTTTTCATTAATGCTCGGTTTGTGATTACTAATTTGATCTGTTGTGCTTCAGTTAGGGGTGGGTTGAATCCTGCATTTATGATGGTTGAGCGGTTTGTAGTTGTGTACCAAAAAGGCAACAAGAAAATGAAATAGTTTTTAAATGTCTAGAAGATTAAATAAAGATTCATGACTTTTATACTACTTTGCCCTTGTCCCTTTTTATGCCAGAACAAAGTTTCTGCGAGTAGTTAATAAGGGGACCACTCGGTGGGGAACACCTGAATACAGGAGAATAAAGATTACATGCACAAATCACCCTAAACACAACTTGAGGGTAAATAAAAAGAGGAAATTACTATATCTCCAAAAAGTTTAATTCACATAGTAGATTAAATAATATAAGAACTCACCTGTGACGAACCAAACCTTCTGCAGATGTGGTCTGAACTAAACGGGATGTGAATTTCCTGAAGGCCAAGGCTTATCTCACCACGCCCATCCCTCTCATCCCATCTGCAAATATAAAAGAGTAAATCAACAAAAATATACCCTGTGTTTGATTATCCTTCTGAAACAGTTTTCCGAGGAAGTTGCCTAGCGACACACGTGACACACCCCTTTTCCTGGGACAGCGTAAATTGGACCTCTGTGGCGGAAAAAGTAGACCAAGTGTGGCAAGACCGGCTTTGAGGGTCTAGGCTGCGGGTGCTCTTACCTGGCGTTCCACACCTCTGCTGTTTTTTTGCTGTGTTTTGTTTGCTGTGTTTTGTTTGCTGTGTTTTGTTTGCTGTGTGCTGTTTTGCTGTGTTCTGTTTTGTTGTACCTCTGCTTCACATTTGCTTTGTTTAGTTTTACATCTGTTTCACATTTGCTTTGTTTTGTTTTACGTCTGTTTTGCTGTTTTGTTTTGCTTCAGTTTTGCTTCGGGTTTTGGGGTTTTGTTTTGCATTTTCAATATTGTGCACTCGTTCTCCCACTGTAGTGTTTTACTGTTTGCTGATTTTTATGGATGTAGCTACTTTTAAACCACTTAAATCTGTCTTTTAAAATAGAAAGAAATAAAGATTTGTGTAAATGATGGAACCTGGCTCTCTCTCCCTTAATGATATGCTTACCTGTGTGCCTTACGTTTAGATTTCATTTCCCCAAACTAGATTTGGGGTGGCATTGTTGCAGCAACTCATCATAAAACTTAACATTTCCCGGAGTGATGAACCCCTCGGTTGCCACACAAGGATTGTGAGTCAGAATCCAAGATGGTTACACCCACTGTGACGTGTAAATATGAAGCGTTTTCATTGTGTTTGGAGACTTTGGTGATTTAAATGACAATTTCAGTCACTTGTACTCTGCCTATGGGTGTGGTAACTGCAATGCGTTATTTTATGACTTGTTGCTGTCATTTCAAAGTAATTTGTTACATTACAATATTACTGCATTTAAAATCTAAGGCATTACACGACTATTGCAACACTTTAAGTTACTCTCACCAAAATAACTGCGAAGATGCTGAACTTTTGCACCGTATAAGGACTGAATCAGGACTAAACCAGGACTGAACCCCAGGACTAAACCAAAACTGAACCAGAACTAAAACAGAACTGAACCAGGACTAAAACAGAACTGAACCAGGACTAAACCAGGACTGAACCCTAAGACTGAACCAGGAATAAACCAGGTCTAAACCAGGACTAAACCAAAACTGAACCAGAACTGAACCAGGACTAAACCAGAGCTGAACCAGGACTGAACCAGGACTAAACTAGGCCTAAACAAGAACTGAACTGAGGAGTAAACCAGGACCAAACTAGGTCTAAACCAGGACTGAACCAGGACCAAACTAGGTCTAAACCAGGACTGAACCAGGACCAAACTAGGTCTAAACCAGGTCTAAACTAGGTCTAAACCAGGACTGAACCAGGACCAAACTAGGTCTAAACCAGGACTGAACCAGGACCAAACTAGGTCTAAACCAGGTCTAAACCAGGACTAAACTAGGACTAAACCAGAGCTGAACCAGGACTGAACCAGGTCTAAACTAGGACTAAACCAGGACCAAGCCAGGATTAATCTTGGACTAGAACTTGGGCGTGATCGGGCATCAACTATGATTAACCCCGTGGAGCATGGAGTTCTGCACTGGTCCTTTCGCCCGCAGTCACCTGACAGTCTATGCGGGCGCATCTCCAGCGTTTCATCGCTGCTGATATCGCGGTGATTTTAGCGAAATTGTATGAAGAAAACAAAAAACCCACCACTTCAATCCAGGTTAAAAATGCACTGTAACGCACCTTACTGACATTTGTACAGAGTAAAATATAAAAAATATTTTCGCTGTAATGCCTTACATTAGCTACTGCGTTATAGGAAAACGCAATGGATTACAGTAATTTGTTACTTTTATAATAATTTGTTTTTGTTTAGTTTTTTTTACACCATGCACATTAAAGGAGCATTGTGTAAATTTTCTGGTGGTGAGTCTCTCAAATGCTTTTCTCTGTGGAGTTGTTATTGCTTTAAACCTGTTAAACCTTTCTGTCTTCATGGAGACCAAACCAGACCAAGTTACAGGTCAAATCTGTGGAGAGGCGACCCCGCTCACAGTCAGAATGTCTGTTTTTCTAGGTATTTTTGAGCTATAAAACCACCTTAAATTGAATAAATGTAAGGCAGAGCTGTTTAATGTCATACTATGGAACATTCCTGGCAGAGCAATTATATATCCATAGAAACAAGCAGATGATAGACCCCCAACCAAAAAGTTACATTTACACCTTTTAAAGTGTGAAAAAAAAGGTTGGAATTCTTTATCCGTCACGTGGGCTTTGTCTCCCCCAAGTGGCTGAATGATTAAATGCATCATGAATAGTAGTTAATCCATGAGGCCTTTTGTCACAGACTTTTTTTTTTTTTTTACTATAAAACAAAATGAAATTAGAGCACTTGTTTTTGAAAGTTATAAGATCAATTTTGACCATAAAATCCAACTTCTTCTGTAGTTTTCCAGTTCATCTTAGACAGAGCTGAGCCAATACAAAAGTCCTTTTCAGACTGATTGAACACTCATGTCGTTTCTACAGAACTCTAATTCTTACCCTGATGTTGCAAAAACCTTGCTAAGCTATTACATGTTTTAGTCACTCAAGTTTAAAGGTGCATTGTGTAACTTTTCTGATGGAGGGTCTGTCAAAGACTCTGTGAAGATGTTTTTTCTTTGTCTGGGATGTTTTACAGTATGGTATTAAACCTGTCTATTTTTATGGAGACCAAACCAGACCAAGTGGCAGGTCAGATCTGTGGAGAGGCAACCCCACACAGTCAGAATGCCTGTTTTTCTTGGTATTTTTGAGCTATAAAACCACATGTAATTGAATAAATGTAAGGTAGAGCTGTTTAATGTCACACTGTGGAATATTCCAGGCAGATAGAAAGTGAGACAAAGCCTGCACACTTACTAACAAACTACATTTAATGAAAGACAATGTGGATCTTGATCCACTGATTGAAAGGTTGTGCAGTTTGGGAGTAAGTGTGCAGGCTTTGTCTCACTTTCTACGTTCACTGTAATAGCCTTCCACCTGTGATGTGACATATCCATGGAAACAAGCAGGTGACAGACCCCCAAAAAGTTACACAGTGCACCTTTAATATCTTACATAATAAAGTGGGAACAAACACCTAAACTCCACCCAAAAGCACATTTCAGATGGAGCTGCTAAACTGGGCAGTAGCTGGAGGACTAAAGAGGAGAGAAGGGGTGGAGTCTGAGGGGTATAAGGAGCAGAGTGACTCGTCTAACAGGAATCCGCACGTCAAACTCTGCCCCTGCAGCCAAATGTTTAATCAGAAACACCAATCTGTAATCAAGGCAGTCCCTGAACATTTCATGTCAACTAATGGAAATTGGCAGAGGGCACTGGACACCCATTTTTATAAATTTTTGTCCAGAAAGCTAAGAATTTACCTAGTTTGCACTAAAATTGCCAAAAAATCACTAGGAACAGCAGACAATGCTATTATCACACCATATACCAGGAGTCTTCAGCCTTTTTCCTTCGGTGAGCTACTTTTACAAAACAAAAATGCCAAAGAGCTACTAGATTTAGCAGTCACAAGAAACTGAATAAATATAAAAGCCATGGCCAAAGCCTTAGATAGCGTACAGTTAGATGTCTATAAAACATAAATCATTATCCATTTGTTCTTGTACAACGTTAGGCATCAAAATTATACATTTACAATGAATTTTAATTATTAAGCACAATATGTATAATTCAGAAATCCTTGGTGAGCTACTTGGAAGAGGGTTGAGAGTTACCAGTTGCTCCCGAGATACAGGTTGGAGAGCCCTGCCATATATAATTTAGTAGCAACTTTAAGGTTTTAATATTCTTTTGGACTTCAAATAACTCTTATGCAGATGTGTTATGGATTCAAGCTAAAAAAAAAAAAAAAACAAAAAAAAACAATTCAACAGATTAAATAAGAAAATATTTTAATCATCTTGACAAGAAAACTACACAAATGGTCAACTGCTTTGAAAAAAATCTCAACTCATATTAGTAAATATATTACTTTTTTCAAAACAAACAAAACTGTGGGTATGAGGAGTTTTAATGAGTTCCAGTCTGTGAGTCATTATGACAAGAGATGCAGTTCCAATACCAATTTCGATATTCTTTAAGTAATATCAACAGATGCCAGCGCAAAGACTGATTTTTATTTTTTTTTTATTTTCAGAAAAAAATTGAAACAAGACCAAAATTGGTCAAAATGTGTGTTGTGTTTGTGATGAAGAAACAAGATTAAAACTGATTTTTAAAAATCAACATTAAATAAATGTGGAACCAGAATATTTGGACGCACTGATTTTTGAAAACCGATATCCGATCCAGCAAGTATTGGCTTCGATATCTGATACCGATATTGGAAAGGTGCATCCCTAATCATTACCAAATCTCTCCACCTCCATGATATTCGGAATAAAAGCAATAGCAGTTCACAAAAAATGTTAGTGTATCTTGTTAAATCTATGGAAAGGCAACCCCGCTCACAGTCAGAAAGCCTTTTTTTTTTTTTTTTAGGTATTTTTGAGCACCTGTAACTGAATAAATGTAAGGTATAGCTGTTTAATGTCATATTGTGGAACACTGTAAGCAGAGCAAAGACATATCCATAGAAACAAGAAGGTGACAGACCCCCAACAACAACCAAAAAGTTACACAGTACACATTTTACAGTAGTCTTCATCTTTTTTGTCAAGTTTAGAGGAGTTTGTCTTCAGGAGTGTGCTTTGCTGCAGTTTTTGAGAATGACTTCTGCAGCATCAATAGTGCTGTCTTGCTGCAATTACAAAAAAGCCAAAGTTTCAGACAGAAATTCACTCAATGCAAGAGAAAATATGTAAAAGTTGTACCTTAATAAAGCAAAAACGAATGTACTTCTCGAAATCTTTCTTCGATTCATTCCCCACAAATGCTGTTACTGGTATTGACGCCAGTTTCTAAAAAAGACAGCGCAGAATGTTTGGGTTTAAAATTACAAAAGTGGATAATGTGGCTTATGGAGACTTGCAGTGACATCATGCTGGGGTGTTGTACATGTATCTCTATGGTGGAACAGTTACCATAGTGACACAAAGCACACAGTAGCAAACACTGTCCAAAACGATTTAAGCCTGAAAACTCAATGAAAAAACACAAAATGGATTTAAACATCACATCTTCAGGAATCTGTGATCAATAAAAGTGCTCATAGTCTCACATTTAGCTCAGATTTAAGTCTAATTTGAGCAACTTCACACAGAGCATCACACCCCCAGGGAATAGCGGCAAAGTCGATAACTCATATTTTTTATTTTATCATATCACTTTTTTTTCCATTACATATAGGTCTAATGCGTCACCATAAATACATTACCATTCTCGCAAAATGACAATTTCAGTACTAAAGAAAAGGCCCCAACCGTCCCGATCTAAAACATACCTTTTCTTTCATCAGCCATTTCACAAATTTGTAATCATAAGCTTCATCCTCCATATGTGATAGGTCCAGGTCTGCATTTAACCACAAAAAAGTACGCAAAGTCAGCATGGATACTTCATATTATTTCCTTAAGATCCTCCTAAGTATAGCTTCAATGCGCCAACATATCAAAATTTGATACACGTATAAATTAAATGCATTTTAGTTTTGCCTCGATATTGTGATTAATAGTGCAGGACAATGCATTTTTTTATGGAGCTCAATTGTGACCACCCACTCCATGGTTTTCAAAATTCCAAAATATTAAAACTTAAATTTTATGTAAAATATGTCTCTGAAACTACTAAAACTACTCTGTTATTAAAACATTTTGCAGAATCTAAATCTCTAAACATGTTATTTGGATTTAAAACAATCGTGTTATGGATATAAGTTAGTCCCAGGCATCCGCAGAGTATATTTTGTATTTATATTTAGAAAAGGTCAGTTTCCAATACTTTATTTTATGCAACATGTCTTCTGTGGCCCCATTATTATCAAAATTCATTCCTGTTCCTAATTTTGACGATAGCAGTGGCAAAAGTATTGTGCTAAACTCACTGAGAGGAGAGACATCCACGAGCATGAAGTACCCCCCCTCTGGCAGGACGGGTGTCATCCCCGCAGCCTGCACGATGGAGGCCATGCGGTCCCTCTTGTCCTGGAGCTCCTCTGCCAGAGAGCTGAAGTAACAGTCAGGCTGCCCCATCAGAGCACAGTCGCGCAGCAGACCCTGGGCTACAGCCTCCTGAACACAACAGGTCAATACAGAGTGGATCAGAGACACTCCAGATGTATGACTGAGAGAAATGAGGAACTGATGGTCCACTGTGCGCTCATGCTGGGCTGTTGTTGGGTTGTATTTAAGGCTCTGAAGTTTTAGGAGCAAAATCAAACTGAAGATTTGAGCTGGTAGAGTGCTCGTCGAATCCAGCTCCTGGCATGAAGATCCACTGACTATTTTCCCTGCTCTCACAAGTGAATGCTGGCATTGTGTCCTTGGGCAAGACTCTTCACCTCGTTCACTTCAACTATCTGTGTACACTGATTTATAAGTGTGTGTGTGAATAGGCGAGTGGTTCCTTGATATAAAGCACTTGACGTTGGACAATGCTGTGTATATAAAAACTATGATGATGTTTTTGTTCCTCATCTCCTTTGGTGTAGTGTCAAACAGCAGTTCATACCTGCCTGTCATCATTTCTGCAATTTATAACATCTTATTGAAACTAAAGGTGGCACTTATGCTCTTACCTGCCTGTCTGAAATATTATGAAAAATAACCACTACATAAAAAAGAGTGTTCTTAGTAGATAAGTCATGGCAATGTTCTGAGTTGGCTCCAATCTTTATTTCATTGACACATGTTTAAACCCACACGTCTTGATACAAAAAAACGTATCCTGGAAGTTCTCATTATTTTCTGAATGATGAGATTTTTCGAAAAGAGACATACGTGATACAAATTAGCAGTGGTGGTTTGACTGTTTCACGTTAGGACAGAGATTTTCACCCTTCTGGATTCAAACTACAAAACAAAAGAATGTTGAAGGGACTGGCTGGTCAGGTAATTAGTGTCATTGCAGATGTAGACACAGAAGGATTATGTAGTACCACAACAGCTCAAATGTTAAATAGAAGCTGTGTTACCTGTAGAGGAGTGGGGCAGGTGTACAGTGAGTTCTGCATCACAGTCTGCAGGTGCTTGACCAGGTGCTCCGGGCCAATGGACCAGCCAAGCTACAAGTACAAACATTAAGTAAATAAGGGGGTAAAACATAACATATTTAGATCCATGTTACATGTTATTGTTTTGAAAAAGCTTTATTCAAGATAAACTAACGTCACAAACCCACGAGTTGTTTGGAAACGTGCGGATAACGACTTCCTTTGGACTCTGTTGGCAATGAGGCGGCCTGTTTTCTTCATTTAGACGTCATTGTATTCTTTCTTTTTTCCTTTTATAAATTGCCTACTAATTTGTGTATTATAATTTGTCAAAAAAAAAAAAAAAAAAAGTTATTGCAGCGTCCTGTTATGTTACGACCAGCTGCCTGTAAGTCACATCGAAGGTGCGATTAGAGTCCCGTCCCCCATGGAAAGCTTTGACAGATTGAAAACCGCTGCTGATGAATCCACGGTTTTATCACATGTCGAGTGTCAGGAACTACACTGAAAGTCGTCATCCGCATGTTTCCAAACGTCTTCTGGTAAGCGTGAATAGAGCCTATTGGCGTGCATTCTGCTAATAAAACTACTGCACATTGGATCAAGTTGTGCTATATTTTTTTTGGACCATGTTTTTTTATATTTATGGAAACCTACTAAATTACTCAATCATGCATGGATGACATCTAAAACCCCTTCAGGCATGTTTGATGAGGGAACATTATAACACGGTAGTAAGTAGATTTCCCATAATACCCTTCTTTTAAGACGATTAGGATTCCTCACCTTCCATCCTGTGACGCTATACGTTTTCCCAGCACTCCCAACCGTAATGGTTCTTTCCCACATTCCGGGTAACGTGGCTGTAAAAGTACGATGTAATTGAGAGATAATTCAGAATCATTTTCGACATCCTTGTTTAACATTACCGATCTTGATGTGCTGGTGTCCTTTGTAGATGAGCCACTCGTAAACCTCATCACTGAAGCACAGCGTGTCATGTTTGATACAGAGGTCTGCGATCATCTGCAGCTCCTCTCTGGTGAACACCTGGAGGGCAGAGGAAGTACTCACTGAAGTAGAAGTATGGCCGAGACTGTGGTGGCACATGCGACCCTTCATTTGAAATAGAGCTGCACAACATCACAATCAAATCTAATCTCCATTTGAGTTGACACAATCAGATCACAGAGGATACAGTTATAGAGAACAGAACTAAATATTCTTTTTTGTTAGAATAATTGTGTATATGTTATCCCATATTTTGTATGTATTGTTTTTTGTGTGAAATAATGTTTGTGCTTATAACTATGCAGTGACTTGTCAGCCACTCTGCACACCGCTAAAACAATGACTTAGTCAGCTCTTTTCTGAGAAAGAGGACGGCTCTCACTTTGCTGGGAAAGAGGGCAGCTCTTAAGGATGGCAGAAAGAAGGGGACGTGCTGGAGGGGACGTGCTGTTCCTAAAGATGCTACAACAAAGATGCTACACCTTATGGGCCACCTGCTGCTGAATATACATATTTGCACAATGAAATCATGTCTGATGTTTCTACTGTTTTTTGCTGTTTTCAACCCCTCCCCTTAGAGAAACACCCACTGTAACTAGGGACTCCCTTATGGCAATAAAAAGAGGAGACGCAGGGAGTGCATCAGGGCGGGTGGAGACTGCTGTAACTGATCGCACTCTCTGTCCGTCCTCCTCGCGAGTAAATCCTCATTAATCTCTTGTCTTTCTTCTTACTTTTACAATGTTTAGGTGGGCTTAAACCTGACATTTTTATAATATTAATAGTCCAGATTTTAGTCTTCTCTCAAATGTTATTACTCTTGGAGCTGTGTGCTATAAACAGAATCCTACTTTTAAAAATATATCAAATCTAAACATAGAGTGAACCTGCCCTGCCCATCATCATTACTAAAACTGCAGAATATTTTTATTGCAGTTATTTAAAAATGTAATGTTACTTGTTATAGCTGAATTAATTTAAAAACAATGTATGATTGGCACTGTACCTTCCCAATAGGATTGTTGGGTGTGTTTATTATAATGGCCTTTGTCTTTGAGGTAAATTTACTAGAAAGCTCCTCTGGGTCAAGATACCAGTCAGCACTAGTGATGCTCTTCTTTCCAGGTTTCTAGAAGGACAAAATCAAATCAGTTTTTTAATCAGTTCAAATCACAGCTACAACTAGTGGTAAAAAACACTGGATAACTCACAAGACGTAGTGGTATCAGGACAGGTTTAGCTCCTGCCATCCGGATCATAGGCTCATAGCAGTCAAAGAAAGGCTCGATTATAATGACCTGATCAGACAATTAACACTATAAATCGATGAAATTAAGATGTTTCATTAACTGAATTCGTGTTTCACCTCATCTCCCTCCTCCACCAGACCCTGTATCGCACAGAACAAGGAGCCGTAACCCCCCACAGTGACCAGGATGTCTTTGAAAGGGTCTATAGCTCTCCCATAGACTTTCCCGTACACCTGAGACAAAGCCTTCACCAGAGCGGGATGGCCCTACACCAACAGGAACAAGGATGATTAGGGGTGCAAAGATTTAAGATAAATAATAAAAGTCAGAGAAAAAAAGAAGAAACAGAAGAATCAGGTTTATTCTGGAGCCTTCTGCCCACTCAACAAAGTGTTGGTCAGCTACAAGAGCTCATTCAGCCATGAACAGTGACGGCCACGCTGCTCCATTGAGAGACACACAAAGTAAAACTGTATATAAGATGTACATATGTTATGAGGGCACAATATGTATTATAATTAAAGTTAAAGTGCAATGTAATTTTATTTTTATTGGGTTCTGGTTGATAAAGACTTACTGCACTTGTTTTCTTTATGTTAATGACATTTAAATTGCCTTTATTCTTCTGCTGGTCGGCTGCAGGTCTGTAACAGAAATAATTTCCCCTTGGAGATGAATAAAAGTAATTTAGATTCTGTATAGTTTAAAGATTACATTGATTAATATTACAGAGGGGAATGGTGAGGTGGAAGTGAACTACACAGGGGTAGCAAACAGGTACGGTCAGAAAAGAGTATTAAACATCAAATTAAAAAGTAAGATGTATTATGTAAGGTGCATTATGTAACTTTTCTGGCCGCCCACTCAGACATGTCTCTCACTTGTCTCTCTGAAGATGTTTGTTTGGCCTTGAATTTTCCACATTATGGCATTTAAAGTCTCAGTCAAGGATTTTTGTGTTGTAATCAATACATACATAAATAAATAAAATTCTTACTCCTGCTTGTAGCTATGGAAATAGATAAACCAAGTGCCATACTGGGGAACACTATAGGCAAACCTATAACATCTTAAAGGAGACAAACACATGGCGGATCCTTCCTTTGTTTTATGAAAATTACATATATGGTATATTTAAGTTTAAAAAAAGGCAATAAAATATGTATTATTGCAATATTGTAATAAAAATCTCTCCCTGCTTCTTTACAATTTTTATGTTTAAACTGGAGTCTAAATGAATATGAAGAAAATAAGATGTTATAATGCATTTGTTGTCTATTGGTAACACAACAGCATACACACATTTTCATTTAAATTTGCTGTGTTTATACAAAAATATGAAAAACACAATCATGTTTCTTACAAATCCTCTGGTGTACTGGTTGAGTCGGTCCACACTTGATGCTTTGGCCAGAGCCTCTTTGACATAGGGAGGAGGGGGCAGGTCTGGGAGTCCCTGCCCCAGGTTCACGATGGAGGGATCTGCTGCCACTGAAGAAAAGGCCACCCTGAAACAATCCACAGCGGGTCACACAGGAGCCTAAGATCACTCTATATAAATGAAAAACTACTTACCACACATTTTTGTCCAATCCCTCGATTCTTTTAGCATTTGTGTGTCTGGTTGCCATTTTGTGCTGCAACATATAATCATTACTACAGCAGTCAGTAAATCCACTGGTTTACTATTCACTAAGATTCTGTTAAGATTTGGGTTCTCTGGGTGCTGCACTGCATCACTTCTGTTGTCCAAGATACACTGTAAGAAGTGATAAAAGCCACACTATTGTTTGTCTAATCCTTTAATCTCACAGAAGGCCTTTGTGTACCCTTGTGTTTGCTATTTATGTGTCTTCTGTTTATTTCTTTTGTCTTTTGTTTGATCATCCTTGTACTCAAATGCTAATGGTAAGGTATTACCTGTTTGGGCGCTAAAGAACAAACGGCCGGACTGACCTAAAGGCAAACTGTTCTTGGGGAAGAGCTTGGACCTCAGACAGTTTTTAAGTGTTTGCTCTGGGCTCACTGCAGCAGAAACTTTGGGTATGTCCACACGACAGCGCTCCTGGATTTTTATTTTTTATTTTTTTTGTGGGTTGAAAAAAATTTGTGTCCCCACACGTGGACACATATCCAGACGATAACGGAGCACTGAGTGAAAACGATGTAATACATATGCCACACTTGTATGTGGCGCTGTTAACAATGATAGTAATATTTAATAATGCTTATCTCATCAGTTTTTTTAAAAGTTGAAGGTAATTTAGCCTGTTTTAGATATATCCCAGAAATATAGCCGTTTTGTTTTGCAGAAGTTATACAAAAGTTTTCCTTTTTACCCATAAGATTTGGATGAGAATTATTAGAATAACTTGGTCTCCAAATCCAAAAATAAAATTACCCATGTGTAATCTTTGTTATTGATCTGTGTGCAGCGTATTCGGTTGCTGGGCAACAGGAGCTGCTCCGTAGGCTACACATGGATCTACACCTGTCCCATTTCAGCAACGGCCTTGTGGTCCGTGGAGGCTAGTACGAGAGCTGCGACGGGGTCACAACGACATCGTTATCCAAAAGCTGCGATTTTGCTTGTCCACATGACAACCAACGTAGGTTTCTTCACTCTGGAACCTGTTCTCAAAAAACACAGTTTTTGCCCACCCGAAATGCCGGCTCCGTGTGGACGAAAGGCCAAAAAGAATAAAAACTTCACTGTTTCAACCAAAAAATGTCGTGTGGACAGGCCCTCTGTCTGTCTGTAGTGGGACCATTTGTTGCCGGTGCAAATGTGATAAACCAACATAGACAGTCTTCTTGTATGTTGTTTGTTGTATGTTTGTATTTTACAGATAATTTCCACGACACTACTAATAATTCAATATATGATAGCTGAAGCAATATATTCAGGGCTCAAAATTGATGTATGTAAACTTTCTTGGGGTAGTTTCATTTTAATAAAATAACATTTGAGCTGTTAAATAAGTGATTTCTATGGTTAATCATTGGTTCATTCTGTTACTTATTTGTTGCAGCTCAGGCCTTTTAATGATACTGTTGATTTCAAAATTTGTTTTCAAGGATTGTCTTGCATTATTGTTACTGTGTCAGTGGCATAAACTAGTTTCAATATAATTGTTTATCGCAATAAATCTCTGTAGCAATATATCGTGCTTCAAAATGTGTTATCGTAACAGGATTAAGACATCATCGCATTCTAGGATCTGTAAACCGCCAAAACTGTTAACCACTGATGTTGGCTGAAAATAAAAGTAAGTTAACACTTTCCACGATAGTTGAACTTTGATCAGTGATCAGTCACTTGCTTGTTCAAGCTGGTACTGATAAAACATAAAAAATTTGAGGAATAGTACGGAATCACTTAACTCAATTTATTTTCACTGTAAACACAATACATTCAAACTGTATTTTTATTAGTATTTGTTTTGCTTTCCAAACCAACACTGTAACACTAGGGACTAAGGAATACATTTAAACTGCAATGATACTTGTGTAACCTTTGATTTATTTTGATGCATATTATTTTATTTATTAATATAAATTTGTGTGATTATTATTTTATATATTGCTTGGATAATTAATTAATATTATTTAGCATTTATTTTATTAACAGTTCATTGTTGCATTGTGTTGGGTTCTGTTATGTTGTTTAGTTGTTTCAGTGGAGCGTTTCTGGGCAGCGCACCGGTGTGGATAGAAGAGAACGTGCACTGCGCGCAGATAGAGAGAAGTGTTGCTCAATAAAGCATATTGGACACTGTCCTGCCGTGTTGGTTTTTTGTAGCAAGGAAACCTACAAGAACTTACAATTATAACATCTCAGTGTAACCCAACACACCCACAGCCTTAAGAGACTGGTAACAACAACATTTTAGGGTTACACTTGCATAAAGAAGAATAACTGATTAAAATGAAATGTATAATTAATGAGCAGCATTAAGGACTCACCTGTGAAGAACCAAACCTCCTGCAAAATGCAGTTTGAACTAAGCTCGATGTGAATTTGGAGATGTTCAGGGCTTGTCTCAGCACTCCCATCCTGCATAAATAAGTAAAATGAACAGTTAACACCATAAACATCTAAGTTATGTCAGTAGTACATAGGTGATGCTTGGTTGACCTTAATATATAAACGCATCTGTGATTGTCCTGGATTAGAAAATGATCTGACACTGTTTATTATTTTACAACATAGTTACAGCCCTTTACACTGTATGACCTCTGTGTTGAAGCAGTTAAAAATACACTTACAATTACATGCATTTTAGAACAGGTTTGCATGACTTTAAAAATTACTACATTATTTAGCTGTTAGAAGATTACATATAGGCCTATTTGTTCATTGCAACCATTTGATTTGATTAATTTTGATCCAGTTATGAATTTGTGATTACTCTTGCATTCTTTGGTGGAAAAGAAACAAAATCCAAGTGGTACACTCAATTCATCTTGGCAAGCACAGACAAGTGTCATTTAGTTTAAAGTGACTACCAGACGTCCCTATTTACCCAAGATAGTCCCAGTTTTGAGCCCTGTGTCCCCTGTCCCAGCAGATTTATCCAAAACCATTGATTTGTCCTAGTTTTATACAAGAAATGTCCCAGGTTTCCCTATTTTTGACTAGTTTGATCCTTGCAACAGTAAAGAGACACATAAATTGTCATTTGTTTAGGTAAAATACAGAAAAGCTGCTTAAAAATGACCAAAACACAAAGAAAATGTGACTATACTAACACAAATGTTGGTCATGAATGGTCTCTACATAACAATTTTCCTTAATTAAGCACTCGTTTCACAATTTTATTATTACCAACCAGCAAAAAAGTGTGAATGAATGTCCTAATTTTTTTTATTGTGAAATTCTGTTCACCCGAAGTTAGTCAGCACTCATGAGCAGCACAGATGATTAACCGATTACCAAGAAAGTATTTGATTCCAAGAAAGCTGTTTTTGGACTGTACAATGTATCACAATCGAATCTAAATCACCTTTATGCTCAAATGCAAATACTGTGTAGTTACACTTAAAAATCATAGAAGTTACTCAGTACTGTAAAAGTTTTTCACTTTCACTTTTAGGTTGATCAAGTTTTGTGTAAAAGTGTGAACTAAAATTGCATTAAAAAAGTAAATAGTAACTTAAGTACAATTCTGGCATCAACATTTGTACTTATAATTGAGTACATTATTAGTCAAGTAACTGCAGCCTACTTTTACTTGAAAACAAATTTTCTGTTCCCTTTCCAGGACTGCCAGAACTACAATTTAAAATAAGCTATAATTATTTAACAAGGTGTGTCTGCAAGAAATGTCCACCGTAAACAACAAAATATTACTTTTTTTTTTTTAGATCTCTGAAAAAATTATAGAATGCATTGAATGGCCGAATTACTTTATTGGTCCAGAATGCTATTTTTTAAACATATATCGCAAATCTAATCGCAAAAAGTATTCCTGACCCCTTGGAGCAGCTCTGTGCTTTGCCCAGTCTGCAAACAACCTCTAAAAGCAGCTCCACATGTACAACACTGCTACTACACACACTACTATTCTATAACCTAGCTTTGCGCTGTTTTTTTGGATTCCCCGCCTTAAAATTTTTGTGCACTTAGATAAGCTACAAAATAAATAAAAATGTCCTCGTACCATAAACTGTTAAACGATCAGAGAGGAGGCAGCAGAACTTACATGAAATCGGAGGATCCTGTGTAGTTTTGTTTGGTCCGGACTTCCGCTGTGGGAGGCGTGCGCGACGTCAGCCAATCAGAAGGCGCGCAACGTTCACGGTCATCGGATTTCACACCGCTCAACTGATTTCCGTGTATTCCATTGCAACAAAATTTTAATGTATTATGAGCAAGTTACAGCAAAGTATATTGTTAAAAGAAGTAAGCAAGACAAATTAGAAGCTTATAGTGTGTCATAATTTTGAATGTATTGTTTTTTATATTTTTTCTCGACCAAAAAAAGTTTACGAATTCACATTTCATGCAAGCTATATTTGAACGTAGCATCTCTCATTCAATCTGTAATACTGTACTGGAATTATTAATAGGTTTGTAATTGAGGACAAGCGGTGGAAAATAACTAATTACAAATGCACATGTTATTGTAATTGAGTAGATTTTTAAACTGTACAACAACTCACCCTAATGTAAAGGATAACCCAATGTCCTGGCAATAATCATATCACTGTTGCACAGTTTCCTTATGACCTCTTGTATATAGCTGAGATTTTATATTGTATTACTTATTTTTCTATTTTATTTTGACTTGTACAAAAACATTTACATAATTATGTCTCTTGCTATCTTTTTAGAACGTATTTAGATTTTTTTTTTTGTTACCATTTATATTTTTTTACTCTTTGTTATTATATTATATTGTGATGTGTGAGCTACTGTGTCCAAATTATTTCCCTTGTGGATCAATAAAGTTTGTCTAAGTCTAAGTTTAAGTCTTAGTGTAGTTGAACGTGTAACTAAGTATAACCCTACCCATGTACTTGTGATAGTTACATAGATGCAACTATAATTGTGTCGTTATGTTTAAAAATCATAGAAGTTACTCAGTATTGTACAAGTTCCAATTGTTGTAATCCACCGTCTCTGTTATTTTCTTTACCGACATACAAACAGAGCTCAGAGAATATGCAGATTGTAGTTTAAAGTGACTAAATTCAAATTTCACTTTTTGATTAATCAAGTTTTGTATAAAAGTGTGATCTAAAATTGCATTAAAAAAGTAATTAGTACAATTTTGTCATCAATGCTTGTACTTATAGTTGAGAACATTATTAATCAAGTAACTGTAGCCTATTTTCACTTGAGGAAACAGTTTCAGTACACTTCCCAGGGCTGCTGGAACTACTATTTAATACAGGCTAAAATGTGTAGGGTTCATTGTGTAACTACAGGAATAAAGAAATGTCCTTCATAAACAAACAATTTCTATATAAACAAAACGAAAATAAGACCATATGTAGCCTTTATGACTGTAATAGTGCAAAGCTTGAACCTATGTTTAACAGGCACATTTGTACAGTCACACTTATTTAATTATCAATCGGTCTTGCATTTTTAAAGAGGACTCACTCAGGAACAGATTGTGGCTTTTAGGCACTAAAATAACCAGCGCACTTACTAAAAGCTGATGTCCGCTCATGTTAAAATGTTTTACTTTTTGCCACTGCCATGTTGGATTACTTTTAACAGGTCTATTGATTAACATGGTGTAGACAGCAGAGGTGCAGTAGGTTAATCTTAAAATAACAGTTAAAATACAGAATTGAAGGTGAGACCAAATTTTTATAATTAAGATTTGCATAAATATGATATAGGTGCACTCTGTGTTTGATATTATTAGATAGTAAATACACAATTAACATCCCATGATACGTGAATCAACATGAGACCTTTTCAATATAAAGGAGCACTGCCTAACTTTTCTGATACTCCACATTAAAAATACATGTATTATTTTATTTTTGCATATTATTTTAGAATCATAGCCTACTGTGGCAAATTCTAGACAATGTAATATCATTTTCATCCACTAGATTATGCAGTGCACCTCATAAACATGACATTGTGACCGACATGATCTGTTCCCTTTATGCTCCTGTAATGTAAGTTAGGATCAGTGCTGGGAAGTAAATGAATACATGCACCAAAAATACATATTCAGAACATAAACTTTGAGGCCTACTTTTTCACTTGGTGGTATTCAGAACGCAGTTCTAAAAGGACTACATGGCAGTGGCCTACATGATTACACTATTTTGACTATGAACTGTGCAGTCTTTGTGAGAAAAAAAGCTCTTGCAATGTACATGTGTGCAATTTTTACTTCTCTAATAGGACATACATTAAAGCCGTTTGTAATTATGTGACATGATTTCACTAAAATTTAATACAACTTGATGTAAAAGTATTCAAAGTTTTCAGAAAACAATAGGTACTCTGATGAACTCTAATGCAGGTATTCTGTATTCTGTAAGTAAATTAGGTTAGCCATGCTGGTGCCGCCTCCGCTCAATTTCATTTCTCTCCAGTGACTAGTCAGGAATCAGAATACACTAGATGGTTTGCAAGAACCACAGAAGTTGTAGACCGCGCACCAGCCAGTCAGTAAAGAGCCGTGAAGCCATGACTGGGTCCCTTTTGTGGTATAGTACAACAGTAAACAAAGCAGTTCGAGTTGGATGTAGACGAAGCCATACATTCTGTGTTGGCAACGATTCCTGAGATGGAGGATTTGAAGTCGGAACAAAGAATGTTTGGTGAATTTTATTGCCCTTCTTCCTATGGGATTTTGGGAAAAGCAGTGATTGGCCAATGAAAAAAGTACCTGTCTACCGTCAAGCAAACGAATCCTAATGCTGCGAGGTCAGACGGTTTCTATGAAGTGAAAGTGGCTGATGAATCAGGCTACACTCATATTGGAATGGTCTGTAAAAGTGTCTTTGTATGTGAAAAGCGCTATATAAATAAAAACTTACTTACTAACTTACTCATGAACTTACTAACTAAATTACTAACTTACTCACTTATAAATATAATTGTGAAAAGCATTTGTAACATTGTAGATTCTCACGTCTGTCATAATGGGAGAGACTTCAGACACTGCATTTATTTATTTTTTTTTTTTTGCTTTACTGTCGTTTGCAAACATGGTTTTGTCTATTTTGGTTAAACAGATAATAATTTAAGCTCCTTTTTACTGCTGGCAAGGATCTGATTAGTTAAAAAATGTGATAGTCCTGTTTAGACCTGATGTAGTCCTGGTTTAGTCTTAGTTTAATCCTGGTTTAGATCAAAATGGTCAAATATAAGGACACTTGGGATATTTCTTGTACAAAACTGGGACAAATCACTGGTTTTGGGTAAATCTGCTGGGACAAAGGGCTCAAAACTGGGACTGTCCTGGGTAAATAGGGACACCTGGTCACCGTAAACTAAATACATTTTCATTTTCAAAGTAGGTCTAGTTTTGAGGATAAATAGGGTCTAATATTCATCCTCAAAAACCCTCCCAGAGCTACCAGCGGCCCTGCACAACGCCACTACGAGGGTGTAATCTGCTCACCCACACTGAGCAGTAGCTTGGTCTCTCCCTCTGCCCTCCATAAACAACATTACTCAGCCTCCTGCTTCATCCCAAACACAAGGCACGCCCCCGTGACGTGCGCTCAGACGTGCCTGTGCAGAGTGTGGCAGAGGCTCCGTGGACGAGTAGCGGAGCGCACGGAGCATGAACCCGGGAATCAGCGCCTGAAAGCGGACACCGACACGCGGACGCTCCATCGATTCTCTCTGGATCTGGCACGTCTCAAAACAAGGTAAAATGAATGAAGTGTTTGGATTTATTTGAAAAGTGATCGGGTTTTGTTTCAGGCACATTTGGGTTTTCCGACTTCTTGGACTTGAGTTCTTGCGCCCACCTGGTTTGACCTATCAGCGTGGTCCCAAATCTCTGTAGTTTAAGATGTCGAGGAAGATGGCTCACTTTCACGTATTTTTAGTTCTGTTATTAGGGAAACTCCACCTCCTTGTGAATGACTTAGCGATGCAAAGTAGCGACAAAACCACTTGCTTTGATTTCGCTTACTTTCCGTTGCCAAAATTGTGCGCGTGTTTCTTTTTTTTCTTCTTTCCTGCACTGCGGTCTGTTCTTTTCCACTTAGTGCCTTCAGAGAGCTGAGACGGGACTCATGTCTCCTAAAGGCTGGGTGTGTTCCAAACAGTTCTGTTTTTGGAAATCAGGGATTCAGACAAATTTCCTGTCAGGAAGAGGCAAGGATACGACCCGGTCAGCTCCTCAATGGCTGACTCATCCAGAGGAAACGCGCTGGACCTCTGCTTATAGTCTCTGAGCAGTCTGTGTGTCTATAGGAAGAAGGGACAGTGTTTTTTGTTTTTTTTTAAAGCTTCAAGGTAAATTGAGAGGGTTATGTCACTGTCAAGGCATGGAAAAATAACAGTATAGCGCTGAGCATATAGACCTACATGTATGTCAAACCCTTGAACCAACTGGTGGTTTAATGTGGGGTCACTAAGAATAGTTCCAAGTGTCCCTGTTTGGACCAATCTGACACCCGCCAACACATGTAGTGCCTGCAAATTACCATAAGACAAAAGAAATGCTTCAAGATAAATGGAGAGGGTTGTGTCAAGGCATGGAAAAATAACAGCATAGCGTTGAGCATACAGACCTACATGTATACAGGTGTGCAAAAATAACAAAATATCGATATATCTTAATGTTTAACATGATGATACAGTATCAATATCTTGGGCTGCTCTATCGATATATTAGCAAAGCTCGCGCCACCTAGTGCCTCCACTCAATTTAATTTCTCTCCAGCGACTAGGTCAGGAATCGGAATACACTAGACGATTCACAAAAACCCCGGAAGTGTGAGTCCAGGCACCAGCCAATCAGTGAAGAGCCATACATTCTATGTTGGCAAAGATTCTCGAGATTGAGGATTTAAAGCCAGAACAAAGAGAATGTTTGATGAATTTTATCAAGGGGAAAGATGTTATTGCCCTTCTTCTTACAGGATTTGGGAAAAGCTTAATATACCAGTTAGCCCAGTTAGCGGCGCATTACATACGTCATAACCAAATAGCAGTGATTGGTTAAACAAAAAAAGTACCTGCCTATGGTCCAGCAAACAAATCCTAATGCTGTGAGGTCAGATGGTTTCCACAAAGTGAAACCGTCTGATGATTCAGGCTATCGATATAAACCAGCAAGAGCATTTTTTGGTATGTTTTACTAAATTATTTTGTTTTGTTGCTTGTTTAGAGGAAGGAAACTCGTTTATGCGACACATTTGACATTTTTACTGTTTTGATGATTAAAATCTGTGTGCGTATTTCATATTCACTTTGCACAAGAAGTGGTTTAACAAAGACTTTTATTAAACAGCCATGATTTAGCCTTTATTTTTTATTGAACCGTATCGAATTGATTTGAAATATATTGCATTGAATCGAAAGTGCACTATATCGTGATATGTATCGTATTGTGGCCTACATATCAAGGTATGTATCGTATCTGCAACTTCTTAATGATACTCAGCCCTATACGTGTATGTCAAACCCTTGAACCAACTGGTGGTCTAATATGAAGTGACCAGGAAAAGTCCCAAGTGTCCCTATTTGAACCAATTTGACACCTGCCAGCTCTAAAGAGGGCAATACAGTCCCAGAAAATGACCATAAGACAAAAAAAAAAAAAAATGCTTCAAGATACTGTAAATGGAGAGGGTTGTGTCAAGGAAGGCATAGAAAAAATAACAGTATAGCATTGAGCACAGACCTATATGGCAAACTCTTGAACCAACTGATGTGTTGTGACCAGGAAATGTGCAAAAGAAGAAAGAGTTCTCAGTTCTTTGAAGCTCCCAAATCTCCCAATTTATTAGTATATAAATTGTAACCAGTAATATAATAGTGATAGTAATATTTTTGGCTGTGGTAAACCAATGCACCACTTTAAAACTGAGTAAACACCTTTTCTGTACTAAAGATTCCATTTAACAATTGCAAATTTCTCTTATTGGCACTGATCACATGGTGGGTCAGGTGAATAGACTTGGGCCTATATATATTACAGATATGAAACTTAAGCTTTCATGTCTGAAGAAGGGCTTGACCCAAAATGTCACATTGTGGTGTCATTGTGGTGTAATTATGGTGTCATTATGGTGTCATTGAAATAAAAATTTGAGACCTTCAAAGAACTGCAGTGCGGGTCTCTTTTTTCTTTTGCACAATTTTTGTCTTTGGACTCACCACGCAGTTTTTGCTGGATGTGCATGTCTCTATCTACCAGAATTGTGACCAGGAAATGTCCCAAGTGTCCCTATTTGGACCAATTTGACACCCAACAACACTAAAACGGGCAATATAGTGCTTGGAAATGACCATAAGGCAAAAGAAATGCAGAGAGAGATGTCTTTCAGATTATATAACCTAATGACCCACAAGTGAGTCGAGAATGACATGTTACACACTCATACATTTTATTTCTATGAACCGTACCAATCCGGGTGTGTCCCACTTTTGACTTTTGAAAATGTGGTCATCCTATGTTCAAATAAGTCTGAGCATTGACATATGAAGTATTACATATGAGGGGACAATGTGGTGATAAAAATAACCATGAGTGCATCTATGTTTTTGATAAAATCTTACATTGTGACTCACAGATTTTCTCTTGAACGCAGCTCTATGTGCTGACAAAACCGTTTTTCCTCTCATAATACAACTTGTATTAGTCATCCCACAGCAGTACCCTGAACTGAGGGACTGGATTTGTACAATTGTAATGACGCGTGAACTCTTGGAAGAATAACATGACTTGTAGTTACAATGAAATCGTAATATGACACTTAAGACAATTCTGATATAGTTCTTTAATATAGCGCTCACCTTGTTTGAAAAGAGTAATGCAAAAATTATTTGCTCAAGCCTCCAATTCCAAAAAGGTGTGCAATTAGCAGAACAATTTCTTACCAAATGAAATCATAAAAACCGGTCAGACATGGGTTAACTGAGTATTTTGTCAACAGAATAATTCATCGTGCAATGAAGCTGAAGGATGAATGGATAAATGTCCTATATTACACAACACTGACTCTTGTGAGATTTAAGCCATGTTAGAATCAACATTCTATCTCAGGGGTCATCAAACTAAGACCCGTGGGCCAACTCTGGTCCTCCACGCCTCTTTGACCGGACCCCCAGCCCCTTTGCCCCCCACCACTTGAACTGGCCCTATGAGGCGATCCTCAAAAGTTGTCATGACCTTTTACTTTTTGGCAAATAATAACACGTTTGCATCTTGTATTTTGTTGATTTTTTCAATTACAAAATGATATTCATATGAAGTATTTATATTTAAATAATTATATGATGTATTTACATTTGCCACCGAATTTGCTGCCTAATTTTTGTCACCTGACAATCTCGAGATCAAACGTATGTAAAGAAAGTGCGGCGGTTTTCAAACAATATAATCTGTGTCATTAGGGTCATACACTTCTGTGATATGGCCAACCCAACCCGGTCCCCCATCACAGTCAGGAGTGAGAATGTGGCCCCCAGAGAAAATAGTTTGGTGACCCCTGCTCTAGCTCATCAAAAAATGCCTTGAGTTGTGTTTTGTTTCATTCACACATTTGAGTAATCCTGAATTATTAGTCTGTCTACATCTCCAAAACTCAAAATGCTCTGTTCCACCTTGTGACGTCATGAATGAAGCTGTAGTTTTCAAGTTAACATCTATTTTTATTTATTATTTTTATTTACCTTTTGTTCAGCAGAGATTGTCAATTCCAGCTGAAGTCATCCAAATAATTCTAGTGGAAGTGGGGTTTCAGTTTCAGAAAAGATCTCAGCCTAAACCTGTGTGAATGAAACAAAACACAACTCCATGTTTTTGACGAGGACACAACATAACAAATCAGAAAATAGCGTAAATCATGAATCGTTACAAACCACACTGACATTGACTCACTGCTGTACACACTTGACTGCACTTTTGACTGGAGAGCTCTTTGGCATTATGTGAATCTACAATGTGTGATATTTCATCTGGCCCATAAACCAGCCTTAATGTGATCTCTAAGCATTAGCAGACCGCTCCATAAACATCGGTAAATGGGCTCTTCCTGTCACTGATGTGGAACAAATGTCAAGGTATAATTATAGCTGCCATCGTACCAAATATTTTCACTAAAAGCTCCGTGCGATAAGGATAACATCATTAATAATGGAGTGGAGCTTGTTGTATATTAATATGTTCACTCATTCATTAGGCTAAGAGTTTATCGGGAAACAAGAATGATGTGTGTCCGCTGTAGTGGAGTCTCAATCTTGGACTGAAAGCAGGACTAAAGCACGTCTAAACAATGACTAAACGGAAAATGACTAAGCTTTTTTTTTTCTCGCAGTCGACTAGTCAAACGATTGTTTTCATTGTACGCAGAGATTTTTCAAACGCATTATCACCCAAATAAAGGTTGAAATATGAAGAGGTTGTCAAAACTATTGAAAACCACATGCTGATACTAAAACTAGTATCGGAATTAGATACTTATTTGAGCAGGTATCGATACGAAAAAGCTGCACTCACACATTTTCGTAAATAGAATGATCTTGAGCTGTATCAGAACAAGTATAAGAGCATGGACCACTGAGGGATTACACAGATATAAGGTCACACTGTAATATAATGAAAGTACTGTTATTTAATATTGAAAATTAAATTCTGTTGTCATTATGGTATCGGTGTGGCTATTCCTTAGTGTTGAAAAATCAAGTTTGAAATGTTAGTATCTTGACAACACTAATGGCGAGTGAAGGCTTCTGTGCAGAAAACACTTACGAATAAAGTGTATCATTTAGAGAGGGAGAGAAAGAGAGAGATACTTTAATGATCACGAGGGATCAATAAAGTTTGGAGATGCACCAATCCCATACTAGTTGAGCGTATAAATTGATGTAATAAAACTATTTCCTGATTGTAATTTGCCCAGAAAGTATCATAATTTTATTTATATAGTGCTGTTCTGTGGGTATATGAGCGATAAATAACAGCGACATTACACATTTAGATCGGTTCTGTCTTATTTTATTTTTGTTTTAAAGAAATAAATACTGTTTTCAGGCTCTGCAGTGGTATCGGTTTATATCAGGTATCGGCAGATAATCAAAGCTGTACTATTGAAATCAGAATCGGAACTGAAAAAGTTTGGTTGCTGTATCTCTAGTGTCATTGTGCAAAATGAATCCTCTTGATTATTATTTTTTTCTTTTTGCTGTTGTTATTTCTATTATGATTTCACTAATGTCACATGTTCCGTTGTATAAGAATGTAAATCTCTTACTTGCCCAAAATAAACAGATAAATAAGAAAAATAAAACCCAACCATATCATTGACGATTAGAAATGACTGAATCTTCAAACTTGATTATTTGCACAGACCTAACTTGGACACTACTACAAACGACTAACACTACCTTATGCATTCTGTGCTTTTCACAGTTTTCCGGGAGCAGAGCGGAGTTTTGCAGCGATGGTAAAGCAATCAGCAACTAACGTGCACTTTCCTAATTAGCGGACAATAAAACGCTTTATTTTTAGATACAGACAGCCTGCAGCAGACTTATTTTAACCTCAAGACCTGCTTATACAAAATATATGTACTGGGGCAAGACGCATTTTACCTAAGTATGGGAAAAATCATGATACATCACCTCTTAATTAGGCATAAACTGATTTAAAGCGGACTTAAACAAGTTGAGGAATGAAATAAGACCGCTTGAGAAACATTCTTCACGAGCAAATTCCAGAGTGTTAAATGAGAGTGCCAAAAGTAACAGGACACTAGAGTGAATGACACAAGGAGACAACAGAGGACAGGCACAAAGCTCGGTCATCAAACAGTAGTTACAAGGCTATAGTAGTGGAAGCAGTAAGAGTTTGGGTTTACAGAGGCCATTCAGTGTGATCAATAAAGCTTTGAAGTTTCTAACAATACCTGTCTGAGGCGCTATCACCCGTTTGGTTATCTTCTCATCAGATATATGCTATTCTTGAGTTTTGGCTTCCTGTTATGGGTGATGCTTTGAGGACTTTGACCATTCAAAATAGGACTGTCATTTGAATTTTAGATTTGCATTTTATCTTTTAGTAATTCTAATTCTGTTCAGAGTTCACACTGTAAACACGTCCAGAAGAATTGACAAAAAATAAACAACAGAGTTAGCAGTTTTTATGCAGGATAAAACCAGATATTTTTTTGTTTGTGGAGGAAATTACAATACTACAAAAATAATTCCTTTGTGATTTGCAAATTCTGTCCAAATTCTGTTTAAATGTGCAACCCTAATTCAAAAGTTATATAATATTTTGTCTTAAAGGGCTCATATTAAGCTATTTTTTGATCTATGTTAGAATGTTGTTACCTCAAAAACATACCTCGAGTTGTGTTTTGTTTTGTCCTGCATAATCTGAATTCTTCTCGCAGAAACGTTGGAGACTAATAATAAAAAATTTACTGAAACATGTGTGAATGAAACAAAACATGTAAGGGATGTAACAATAACCGAAATATCATGATATCGTATCATCAAAAGTCTCACAATAATATCGTGGGGCGTCACAATATATCAAATCACAAGTTCCTTTGCTTAAATGCATGGTTTTACAGTAGCAACAGCTGATAAACACAGGGAACTACATATCCCATGATTCATTTCAGTGCAGACAACATGAAGAGACATTTTTTTACTTGAATTCTTGGGATTTTGACGGTAATAATTCACCCAAAAATCTTATCAGGGTATTTTAAAAGCAAGACAGCATCCTATCTACAACTATATCAGCCTCTTCAAAATATCACAGTAAATATCGTATCGTGAGAATATTCTACCGAGAGATTTGGATATCGTTACATCTCTAGTGGTATAGTATTAGGAGTAGAAGTAATTGTTGTGAAAGTTTCATAATCGGTATTTAGGTGGTGATTTTTTAATTCTTGGGATTATGACGGAAATAATTCACACCAAAATCTTGTCAAGGTATTTGAAAAGCAAAAAAGTGTCCCATCTACAATTATATCAGCCTCTCTAAAATATCGCAATAAATATTGTACCGTGAGATTTGGATATCGTTACATCCCTAGTAACAGTATTATGTGGCTAAAAGCTCACAGGAATCAATTTTGCATAATATAGGACCTTTAAAATGTGAATGTGAAATGTGAAACCGTTTTTCCTCATTCTGAAACCATGAAGAGGCAGCCACTGGTCTACTAAAAAGGGGCAAGTCCTTGAAGTCCTTGAAGTATTACAGCCATTACGATCTTTCCAATGTGCACTGATCTGATTTGTATTGGGTTTAGTAGAATAAGAGTTTTTAGTCACTCTAATGGAATATTTTCTTTCCGGTCACTACTGTTTTTACGTTTTTGATCCTCCTTGATGGATATTACTATAGATATAAATACAGACAGTTTGGTCCTTGTGAATTAAAACCTTGACGACCAAATGAGGGGAGAGTGGCACAGTGGGTTAAGCATATACCCTCTAACAGTTTTATCAGACGATTCTAGTCTAGACACAACTACTGCCATGTCTTTATTTTGGTTCATATTAGAGCTTAAGTAATCAAATTTCTATTGAGGATGAGATCCAGTCATGTCTAATTGTCAATTACTTTGGGTAATTTTATTTGAGAGGTCTGCAGCCAAAACTCTGTTAGTGACAGCATGTGTTTTGGAGCAGAGTTTAAACTTTGGAGGAAGCAATGTGAATTTATTTTGTCATACAAGGTTAAATGTTTGACTTGCTTATGTTCATGAAATCAGTGCTTAATGCTTTATTTGTTTTTTTGAGACGAAAAAATGACATATCAGAGTACATATTCCTGTTGCCAAATTCTGCCATCCAACAGAATATCAATATTTAAACAAGATCTCACGAGACAAAATTGCCACTAGATTGTAATGTGCACACAACAGAAAAATTATCTTGTGAGATTTTTTCATGTGCTTACATTTCTTACACTACAAATTGGACAAAAATTGTCATGTGTTGGTAAATTACATCTCTTTCAGTCGGTACTAGAATGGAAACAAAACTATGAACTATGAATAAATAAAAAATTGGGAGGTCAAAACTGGAAACTGAACCGTGAAATTTATATATTAGGAAATATGTTAAAATCTCGTCTTTTCTCATTCTTGTGGGCTCAATCTCACATCTCATCTCGCCTGAAATTGTGTCTCGTCCCATCCCTTTTAAAACTTACAGTATAGCTAATATATAATATCTTACCTTGACTCCATTTAAATTGCTGTTACCATTTGATTGTGCTTTGTCACTGACTGCAGTCTTGTGTGTGTGCAGCCATCATGATTCCTGTGATGGAGTTTCGTCAGTTCTCGGAGCAGCAGCCGGCGTTCCGGGTCCTGAAGCCGTGGTGGGACGTGTTCACGGATTATCTGTCAGTCATCATGCTCATGATCGGAGTGTTCGGCTGCACCCTGCAGGTAGTAACAAGATTTATAATTGCTGCTTTTCAGATTCTGGAGCTTGATTATGTCATACTTACAGATAGAGAAAGACGTATTGGTTGGCTGATACAGCAGGCTGATATTTGCACTTTTTAGCATATCTGCTTTTAACATCTCCAGCAAGGCAGATATTTTGTTTTTGTGTTTTCTGCCTAAAGAATATGGATAAAACCTTGTTAGAACACTTAAGTACACAAATTTACTACACATCTCTCGTAAAGGTTGGCATTAAAAAAGGCGATGGGTGAGTTTTTAGTAAATTTAAATGACATAGTTTGCAGAAATTATATAAATCTGCCCTACATACCTGTCCAAAAATATCGACAGACCTTATCGTACTTTGTAAACAACCTGTATCGGTATCAGCAATGAAAAAAATCTGTTTCTCTCTACTCCCAGATGATAAAATGGTATTTTCATAAGAAATAACTAAAAGTAAAAAACACAAATATTGCATCTGATCATTTCTTTCAGTAATTGGACCCTAGAACTATCAAGATAAATCAGTAGTTTAACAATATTAATTTTAGCTGCCCCCATCTGTACTCAGGGTCCTATATTACACAAAATTAACTCTGAGCTTTACACCATGTTATTATTAATAATTCAAAACATACCTGGAGTTGTGTTTTGTTTCATTCGCACATGTAATCCTGGTTTAAATGCTCTGTTCCACCTTGTGATGTCATGAAGTGGTAGTTTTCAAGTCAATAGCTGCGTTTTACCTTTTGTTCAGTTGACAATTCCAGGTCTGAAATTATCCAAATGATTCTAGTGAAGGTGTACAGAGTTTACAAACACAACGGAGCACTTCTTGTATTATTACATGACATCACAAGGTGGAACAGTGTGTTTTCCATCTGAGTAAAAGAACTCAGCCTAAATATGCAGGGTTTGTGTGTTGAATGTGTGAATGAAACAAAACACAACTCCAGGTCTGTTTTTGATGAGGAAACATTATAACAAAAATCAGAACATAGTGTGATATAGGGCCTTTAAATGTTATTTGTTCTATTGAATGTTGAAAATCCAATACATTTTGAAGGTATATACATTTTTGAGCCTTAAGAGAAATTACTTTGACATAGTGACTCACAAATAGTTCTTATAACATAGCACATTAAATGGTTAAAAAATGAAACTAGTCAAATTTAAATATTCACTAAGACTAAATCAGGACTAAGAAAAGGCTTCATCATGACCAAAACTGCCTCAAATATGATCAGCCACTTCACATTTTCTATTTTTAACACTGCTAGGACTTTATGGTATTTAAATTGCGTTTCTTGCCTAATCATTTCCACTGCAACTGTCTCTATTTCAAGTGTTTTATTGTGCTGACATGTCTGTTTGAGGGATGGGAAAGAAGTGATATTTGAAAACCAGAGTCGCCCTACAGTCATTCTACTAATATGTAACGGCTTCTAAGGAAGTCTGGGCTCCGGTGATGGAAACTCCAATGAATCTTTGCCATAACATTAAGTTTATTCAAAGTTGATACTTTGCAGTGACATCACGCTGGGGGTGTTCTACATGTATGTGTATGGCAGAATGTTTAGACGTTACCATGGAGACACAATGCACACATTAACAAACACAGCCCAAGGTTTTTGATTGTGTTGAAGAAAATGGATTTAAAAAGCAGATTTTCAGGAGCTGGTAATTCATATGAGCTTTCATGGTCCTGTTCAGGAGTTTGATATTCAACAAAAAGCTCTTTCTGGTCAGATAGCATTAAATTAAAGCTCACATTAAGTCTAACTTTTGTAACAGCTTCAGACAGAGCAGTCCTTTTTGTTAGCATCACACCCCCACAGACCGTTTATGACATCAGCAGCAAAGTATCAAGTGTCATTAGGCTTTTATTTGCCTGTTTGTTGTTACAGTTTCTGCAAAGTAGAGATTTTGAAAAGAACCCATTTGCGGCCCCATTCTGCTTACATAGCTGTTTCTTAATAAAATATATTTAGCAGCAGATAAAAATGCCTCTGACATTTGGTGCAGCAGCTGTAAAAGGGTAAACAGTTATGTCAGCTGCAGTCTGTTTGTCCATGTGCATCCACAAGCAAGTCAAAATAACTGCAAATACTTACACTTAGCATGCACTATAAGTTGCAGGTAATATACTTACCTCAATACATAGGCCACAATACGATACATATCTGAATACAGTGCACTTTCGATTCAGTGTAATATATTTCAAATCAATTCAGTACAATTCAATAAAAGATGGCTGTGATACTAAAAGTCTTTGTTAAACCAGTTCTTGTGCAAAGTTCATATGAAACGCAAACATTTTAATCATCAAAACAGAGAAAAAGTCAAATGTGTCACATAAATGAGTTTCCTTCCTCTGAACAAGCAACAAAACTGTAGCTCTGTAACAAAATCATTGAGTAAAATATACCAAAAAATACTCTTGGTGATATATTGACACAGCAGAACATGATACTGATACTGTATCATCACAATAAACTATACAATATATCAATATTTTTATATTTTTATATTTTTGCACATCCCTAGCCATAACATAACATACTCCTCCTCCTCCCTTACATACATATATACTGTTTTATTCACGTTTTTTGTTCACATTTTCACACATTTGTTAATAGGGATGTGCAAAAATACTGAAATATCGATATACTGTATCATTTAATGTAATGATACTGTATCGATATTGGGGACTGTGTATTGATATATATGACCAAGACAGTTTTTTGGTATATTTTACTAAACAGTTTTGTTGCTTGTTCAGAGGAAGGAAACTCGTTTATGCAACACATTTGACATTTTCACTGTTTTGATGATTAAAATGTGTGTGTTTCATAACTTTGCACAAGAAGTGGTTTAACAAAGACTTTTAGTATCACAGCCATGATTTAGGCTTTATTTTTTATTAAACCGTATTGAATTGATTTGAAATAAATCATATTGAATCAAAAGTGCACTGTATCCAAATATATATCATATCATGGCCTATGTATGGAGGTATGTATCGTATCAGCAACTTCTTAATGATACCCAGCCCTCTTTGTGTATGGAGGGTTTAGGGTAGGGGTTAGTTTCAGTTTTACTTTTGATGCTTTGAGTCCCTCCCTTTGTTCCTGCGCTAAGTCACTCCCCCTTCGGAGCACCGTCACAACACAATCAGCGCGCATTCCGCTAATGAAACTACGGCACCTCGAATCAAGTTTGTGAAATTCTAGTGTATTGTTTTGTATCCTGTTTTTGTATATTTATGGAAAATTGTCACTCGGGAGCACGTAGGCTTGTGAGAGGAGTCTTGGACAGGATTGTACTGCAAACCGTAAAGAGGTATTCGAATAGTGCCCCGGAGATATCGCAAGATTACGCAAGCATGCATGGATGTTTTTGAAAAGGGAACAATGTTATAACAAGGTACAAAGCTCCAATGAGTCAATTTTGCATAATACATCCTTTTTAAGATATTGGAAGAGGATGAAAGCAAAATATAGAAATCTTTTGTATTAAAAAATATAAAAAATGCTGGAGAAATAGCATCAAAGCAGGAAAATTTGCAATAAAAATCTATTTGTATTAATTGAAATGTGCTGTTAGTCAAATCCTGATAACGTAAAAGTAAACATACATACAACATACAACTGATGTCCCTTTATGTGTGTAGAAGTAGAAGAAATAAACAAATTATTATCAAAGTGACTAAATAGTGAAATCGGTTTTAAAATACAGCTCCTACTTAGTCCCTTTTCATAAACCAAAACAGGTTAATCAGCAGTTGAGTTGTAAGAGTAACAAGTATCTGTGAGCACTTTTTTATCTATATAATTCAGCTAAATCGACAAAAACAACTTAACTTAAAATTGCGCAGCTTTAAGCAGGTAAACAAGCATCTCTAAATACCTACTTGGCACTAAAAATAAAGCCATTTGAGTCGGTGAGATTAACTACAGTTTCAGTATAGGGACATACCAGTTCTGCCCTTACACACTGGCGCTGCTCCGAGCCACAAATTCTCTGCTTTTACAACCTCGGGCCTGTGAGTGGTAAAAAGAGAAGCATTCAGAGGGGAGCGCTCCAACGGAAACTATGACCCACCCGGCCGGGACAGCCCTCAGTAAACAGCAGCCTCCAAACCAGGCTATACTGACGAACAGGGCTGTCATTTGGCTCTAGTAGCGTAAATACAGGGAGAAAGCAGCATCATAGTAAAAGTGCAAAATGTAATCAGAAATGGGATGGAATGAGATGGGATGTTTATGGGGTGATATGGGTAGAGTGCTTGGTTGGGTTCAGTCCTTGTTTAGTCATTAAATTGTCTGGTTTAAATTGGATTTGAAACCAGACATTTTTGGGGTATGGAAACATTTAGGCATTACACAACACTACCAAGAGAGTTTTGATGTAGTTTAGTGTGGGTTGGTCCCTTTTTAGTTCTGGTTTTAATCTGAATTGGTTTGAACATCTTTTATTAGGGATTGTGTATTGGTTACCAGTGATACTGTAGCCTGATTCATCAAGCTGGTTTCACTTCGTGGAAACCGTCTGACCTTGCAGCATTAAGATTTGTTCTCTTGACGGTAGACAAGTACTTTTTTAATTTAACCAGTCACTGCTATTTGGTCGTGACATATGTAATGTGCAGCTAACGGGGTTAACTGTTATATTAAGCTTTTCCCAAATCCCGTAGGAAGGAGGGCAATAACGTCTTTCCAGTTGATAAAATTCACCAAACGTTGTCTTTGTTCCGGCTTTAAATCCTCAATCTCGGAAACTATCGCCAACACAGAATGTATGGCTCTTCGCTGATTGACTGGTGCCTGAACTCACACTTCCAGGGTTCTTGCGAACCGTCTAGTGCAGGCACGTCCAAACTATGGCCTGGGGGCCAAATGCGGCCCTCAGACAAGTTGTTCTTGGCCCTCAGACTTCTAGGTGAATTGGCCTAAATTACCTTGCATCAATTCAAAAATTATTTTTTACTGCAAGTT